TACATACCCAATCTCCCATGTCACAAAAAGTAAAGTCACCTATTAAATGTACGTATAAAGAATGAATCAGCATGGTTTGAGCATTGAACTACAACTCTGTGGAGACTGGGATTTAAACTCTTCTTGGCTGTGGAAACTCACTGAGAGACCCTGGACACATCACTCTCTCTCAGCCTCAGAGGAAGGCAAAAGCAAACCCTCTATGAACTAATCCTCACAATAGGTTTGCCACAGGATTGTCATAAGTCAGAAGCAACTTGAAGGAACAGAACAATACCTATCATTCAACATAACAAATCCCACACTACAGCGCTTCAAACAACTTTATTTTTCCTCATTTTGAACTTCCTCATATTCACAGTAAGGCAAAGAGAACTACATGCCACGATTGCTATAGGAACACAAGTGTTATAACATTGACAAAGTGTGGATGTAATAGAGGTGGATAGACATATTGCTAAAGACGGACCAACTTGGTTTTTCACCGCTTTTGACAAAATTATTCTAAGACAAGCACTTTTTAAAACACTGAAAGGACCATATATTTAAGATTACAGCATAACAGATCAACTGATCAATCAAACCCATTCTAGACTGATTAATGAATCTTAACCAAACAGGAATTCCTATTTACAGTTACAAACATTAAAACGATCCTCCCATAACATCAATGTCACATAATAGTTCATTTATACCAGTTAATCTTAAAGGTGTCTTGGCACTCCTTTTCTCTCTTATCCTTCCCTATTCCACCATTATACTCCACTATCACACCATTATACTTATGAATAACTATAATCAACTGGAACATGGCCACACAAACCAAAAGACTCAAAACAACCCTATCATCTACACTGTTTGTAGCAAATTAGCATTTTGATTCTAAATCCAGTTGCTTGAATAGACCCACCAAATCAATGGAATGTATGCTTTATGACCCATGTCTGATATCACACTTCTAAAAATGAAGAAGTGGGTTTATATTCAACAAAAGGTCATGCTATAATAAAAAACTTAAAGGTGGTGCCACATTTTCCTCCTGCTCCCTTCCTCCTTTTTATAATGGAATGTATGTAAGTGTTGATTAACTAAGGGTACCATTAATTTTTGTGGTCTTTGCCAATTGGGAGCAACACTGGAATTGAGGCCTTTGTTTCTCTTGTACTCTTAAACTGAAACATATATACTGAAAATGGGAAAGAAGGAATCTTTTATCTTTATCTTCATTTAGTCATGCTAATTTGTAAGCACTGTATAGCAAGAAAATTAAATGGACCCAAGTGCAAGTCAAGTGCTTTTCAGTAAATGCTCCAACGTGCAAGAAGAGTGGGGAACACAGTGCTGAAGTGAAAACAGGTAGCTCTTCTAGCACCTTAGGATCAGCAGACCTGTCTGGAGGTCACTTCCACAAGTAACTGTTAGGATCCTACAAAATGTTTTATGTTTCTCCTAAATTCAATAAGAATCACATACTCTCCAGCTACACTGAATCTAAAGCCGAATGCTCATATTAGATTCTGCAGTCCAAATATAAGAAAGCAACCAGGACAGAAGCTAGATAGCCCTGGCTCTTCTTTCCTTATTCTGGCTGTATCCAAAATGAAGAATTATAATAGTTTGATAGCTCATTCACTGCCAGGGCTCAATGCCATGGAAATCTGGAATGTGTAGTTCTATAACATATTCAAACCACTGGAATGTAAACAATTTTATACTTTAATGCATTTTAGAGGTCGGATTTTATTACGAAGTAAATGTGTTTGATGAGATTTTATTATGCTTTTAAACTAATTATTTTGTTTTGTTTCCAATTTACTTACTTATTGGTTAGTTATTATAAGTTTATATTAATTTTGTTTATTTGTTAGTTTGATTTTGTTAGTTTGTTTGCATTACTGCATTGAATGTTTGCCACTTTTTTGTTTGGTAACTGCCCTGAATCCCTTCGGGGAGATAGGGTGGGTTATAAAGTTGTTTATTATTATTATTATTATTATTATTATTAATAATAATAATAATAATAATAATAATCCATCTTTGTCAGGCACAAACGACAACTTCCAGGACTCCATAAGTGAAAGTGAAGTTAAACTACTTCAATTCCGCAGTGTGGATGATCTATCCTTCAGTTCAATTTATTCCTGATCGGGGGGGGGGGGGGGGGGGATTAACCAGTGTCCAGAAACATTAAACTCCGCCTGGGATCAGCTTGTAAGGAGGGCTCAACAACAGGGGTCCGAGACAAAATACATCCTAGAAATCCATTCAGTTGTTCATTTTGCAGCCCTTTAAAAAAGAAGGAAAGCAGTCCACGGGCACATATACTACCCTGTAGAATTAATGTAGTTTGGTATGACTTTAACTTTAGCCAAAGCTCAATGCAACGGAATCAAGGGAGATATGGTTTGGTGAGGTACCAAACACTATATGGCAGTGGTTCCCAACCTGTGGTATGCAGCCCAGCAGTGGGCTGCGAGAACTAAAATCCAGTCTGTGAACCTCCTTCCTCTTTATTTTATTTATTTAATTTCTGTACCTTTTTGCAGAGCTGACCAGCCCCACCCCTTCTGGTCCTAATGTTGGAGAGTGGTCTCTGATCAAAGTGGTCCCTGGTCAAATTGGCCTGGTCAAAGTGGGTTCTGATCAAAAAAGGTTGGGAACCACAACTATATGGGAAAAGAAATTGCAAGTGAGCCCATAAAATTGAGCCATGGCAGTATGATGATTATTATTATTTTGTCGTGTCAGGAGCGAGTTGAGAAACTGCAAGTCGCTTCTGGTGTGAGAGAATTGGCCGTCTGCAAGGACATTGCCCAGGGGACGCCTGGATAATTTGATGTTTTTATCATCCTTGTGGGAGGTCCCTGCATGAGGAGCTGGAGCTGATAGAGGGAGCTCATCCGCCTCCCCCCAGATTCGAACCTGCGACCTGTCGGTCTTCAGTCCTGCCCGCTCAGGGGTTTAACCCACTGCGCTACCGGGGGCTCCTGGCAGTATGATATCAAAATTCTATTAATTCCAGCAGCGTAGATGCACCCGATTGTTATATAGCAGGCATGGGGAAACTTGGGCCATTCCTCCAGGTATTTTGGACTCCAATTCCCACAATTCCTAACAGTCTCAGACCCTGCTTAACTAGCTGAGGGGGAAAAGGGAAGGGCCTGAGGCTATTAGGAATGGTAGGAATTGGAGTCCAAAACAAGGTGGGAGTGCCAAAGTTTGCCCATGCCTGCTATATAGTATATAATCGTGGAAGCTGTAGTTTGAATAGGTCTTCAGCATTTTCTGCCAAAGACTGCTGGTGCCTTCACCAAACTACAACTGCTAGGATCCCATAGCATTGAGACAGGGCAGTTAAAGTGGTATCATACTGCATTAATTCCACAGTGTAGAGGCATCCTGTGGTAGCCAAGGAAGGAGAGGAGGCAGAAAGGAAGGAAAGAAGGAAGCCAAGTTTGCCCATGCCTGTTATATTGTATATAACCCCAAGAGCTGTCGTTTTAACAGGGCTTTAGCCTTCTCTGCCAAAGACTGCTGGTGCCTTCACCAAACTACAACTCTTAGGATCTCACTGCATTGAGCCAGGGCAATTAAAGTGGTGTCATACTGCATTAATTCCACAGTGTAGAGGCACCCTGTGGTAGCCAAGGAAGGAGAGGAGGCAGGCAGGTAAGAAGGAAGGAAGCCAGGTTTGCCCATGCCTGTTACATAGTATATAATCCTGGGGGCTGTAGTTTTAACAGGTCATTAGCCTTCTCTGCAAAAGACTGCTGGTGCCTTCACCAAACAACTTCTAGGATCCCATAGCATTGAGCCAGAGCAGTTAAAGTGATGGCATACTACATACATTCTACAGTGTAGAGGCACCCTGTGACAGCAAAGGAAGGAGAAAGGAGGCAGGTAGAAAGGAAGGTAGATAGGTAGGAAGGAAGCAAGCAAGGTAGGTAGGAAGGAAGCAAGGTAGGCAGAAAGGAAGAAAAAAAGGAAGGTAGGTAGGAAGGAAGGTAGAAAAGAAGGATGGGTGGATGGAATGAAGGAAGGAAAGTAGAAAAGAAGGAAGGATGGATGGAAGGAAAGTAGAAAGGAAGGGAGGGAGGTAAAAAGGAAGGAAGGTAGAAAGGAAGGGGGGTAGAAAAGAAGGAAGGAGGGTAGGTAGAAAGGAAGGAAGCAAGGTAGGCAGAAAGAAAGGAAAGCAGAAAGGTAGATAGAGAGAAAAGAAGGAAGGAAGGAAGGTAGAAAGGAAAGTAGAAAGGAAGGTAGGTAGAAAAGAAGGAAGGAAGGTAGAAAGGAAGACAGAAAAGAAGGAAGGAAATGAAGCAAGCAAGGTAGGTAGGACGGAAGCAAGGTAGGCAGAAAGGAAGGAAAAAAGGAAGGTAGGTAGGTAGGAAGGAAGGTAGAAAAGAAGGATGGGTGGATGGAATGAAGGAAGGAAAGTAGAAAAGAAGGAAGGGTAGTAGGTAGGTTGAAAGGAAGGAAGGAAGGTAGAAAAGAAGGATGGATGGAAGGAAAGTAGAAAGGAAGGGAGTGAGGTAAAAAGGAAAGAAGGTAGAAAGGTAGGGGGTAGAAAAGAAGGAAAGAGGGTAGGTAGAAAGGAAGGAAGCAAGGTAGGCAGAAAGAAAGGAAAGTAGAAAGGTAGATAGGGAGAAAAGAAGGAAGGAAGGAAGGTAGGAAAAGAAGTAGGTAGAAAGGAAGGAAGGCGAAAGAAGGAAGGAAATGAGGAGGAAAGGAGAAAGGAAAGCAGAAAGGGAGGGAGGGAGGTAGGAAGGAAGTGAGGTAGGTAGGTAGAGAGGAAAGAAGGAAGGTAATAGAAAGGAAGCAAGGTAGGTAGGAAGGAAGGAAAGTAGAAAGGGGTAGGTAAAAAAGAAGAAAGGAAGGAAAGAAGAAAGGAAGGAAGGTTGATAGGAAGGGAGGAGGAAGGAGGCACAGGTAGGTCAACAGTGGAGGAAAGGCCACTGAACCTAGACACTTTGGGGGGGGGGTGGCCCCTTTTTCTGCCTTACCTCGCCGAGGCACAGCCAGAGGAGAAAGGGGAGGAGGAGAAGCCCCCGCGGGAGGCTCCTCATGGTCTTTGCAGTCAGGCAAGAAGGGCGAGGCGGCGTGGGGGGCCAAGGGCGCTCTCCCCGTGTGGAATCCGGCTTCTTCACTCCGGGGTCATGGCAGAGGCATTGCAGCCCGCCCGCCAAAACAAGAAAGGGGGGGAAAGGGGGAGAGGCTGAGGCAGGGCTGCCCGCAGATAGACTTGGCCTGCGGTGTCCCCCTCCTCTGGGCAAGGGCGGCCAGTCAAGGGGAGAGGGGGGGATGCCGGGCGGCGGCAACAGGAGCAGCGAGGGCTGACGAGGACGGCGACCGGGAGCCCTTCTCCTCCTCCTCCTCGCTCTCCTCCTGGTTCTCTTTCTCCGCCGCCTCCTCCCTCTGGGGCCCATTCATCGCTTCCTCCACGCTGCCAAGGGGCAGGGACCGGCCGACGTTGGCAGGAGTTGAAAAGGTCGCCCTGGTTTCATGTATTTATTTATTTATTTCCTCCTCTCCTTTCTTCCTCTTCGTGCCGCCTCGTAGGAAGTTGTTCAGGCTGGCATTCCCCTCCCACCCGCGGTTCCCCCCCCCCCCTTCCTCCTCCTCCTCCTCCTCTTTTGCCTTCCCTTTCTCTCTCTCTCTCTCTCTCTCTCTCTCTCTCTCTCACTCCTCCTTCGACTTCTCGAAATGCCTTCGGGGAAAAAAAAGAAGGGGTCTGCCTGTCTCTCCCTCTCTTCCGGTTGGTTGTAATTATTGCGACACGGTTTCGCCTCCTGTTGCGAGGCGAGGAAGAGCATTGGGCCTTTGGGGTTTTTTTTTTTTTTGCTTCAGAATAAACGCCTCCCTCCTTCCCCCCCCCAACTTCAGACCCCTTTCAAAGCCATCCCATCTCCACTGTCAAACATCTGGAGGGCCCAAGTTTGCCCAGGCCTGATCAACACTGTAGAATTAATTAATGCATTTCCACACCGCTTTGAAGGCGATTTTCCTGCTTCTTGGCAGGGGTTGGACTGGATGGCCCACGAGGTCTCTCCCAACTCTAGGATTCTAGGATTTAATTGCCATAGCTGTGGAATCCTGGGAGTTGTAGTTTAAGGTCTTCTGTGCCCCATGCTGTGGGATCCTGGGAGTAGTATATCAAGGTCTTAGGTGCCCACACAGTGCTTGGAGCCTCACCAAACTACATCTCCCAGGGTTTCATAGCTTTGAGCCCATGGCAGTGAAAGTGGTCTCAAAATGCATTCATCCCCCATGTCTCCAGTTATAGCGTAGCAGCATTTTCAAGCTCTTTTCAATCTCTTTGGATGATTGAAGCTAGAGGACTCATCTTGTGGGAATATATCCCAAGCACTAAAGAAGAAAGAAGGCGTGAGAAAGGACACAAGACAATGTTGAGTGCATCTACACCAGGCCTGGGCAAACTTGGGCCCTCCAGGTGTTTTGGACTTCAACTCCCACAATTCCTAACACCTGGAGGGCTCAAGTTTGCCCAGGCCTGGTGTAGATGCACTCAACATTGTCTACACTGTAGAATTAATGCATTTTGACACTATTTTCATTGCCATGGGCTCAAGGCTATGGAATCCTGGGAGTTGTAGTTTGACAAGGACTTTTCCACCCAAGAGTGCCCAGTCCCTCAACAAAGCATAACTCCCATAATTCCATGGCACTTAAAGTGTTTTCAAACTGCATTAATTCTACAGTGTAGTTATACAGATTGTGCCCCTCATATCTGGAAAATGTTGGGGTGGGGTTCTTTTTTGGACTACACCTCCACTCATCCCAGAGTCAGATGCATGGCTTGAGGAATTCTGTGAGTTGTATTCCTTTCGATTGAGCATTCCCTTCAATTGGTTCCTTCCCTTCCCTCCCCCCATTGTTTTGAAATTCTGTAAAATTCCATTTCCATGAATGATGGAGGTTGGCTAGTATGCCTCCAAATTGTCTGTCGATTTATAGTGACTCCATTAATTTTACAGGGTTTTCTTGGACAAGAAATATATTCACTGAGGACTGCTTCCAGCACATGCACACAGCCTGTGGGTAATAATGTCCATGCTATGTTCAAGTCCCATTATATGCAATTATATATATAGGGGCACCATTATATTGTGAAATGTTGGCTCCTGTCCAAATTACCTGTCTGAACATTTCTCTCCCTATGAACCGGTTTGGCAGTGGTTCTCAATCTCTGGGTCCCCTGGTGTATTGGCCTACAACTCCCAGAAATCCCAGCCAGTTTACCAACTGTTAGGATTTCTGGGAGCTGAAGGCCAAAACATCTGGGGACTCACAGGTTGAGAACCACTCCCATCGCAAGCATGACTGGTGGGGATGATTGAAAGGCCCTTCTCAGTGGTGGCCCCTTGGTTATGTAACTCCCTCCACAGTGAGATCAGATCAGCCTCCTCCCTCCTGGTATGTAGGAAACAAGTAAAGATCTGACTCTGGAATCAGGTGTTTTGGATAGGGCAATGTGGAATCATCACAATGTAGCACACAAATGTTGACTTAGGATTGGGCCTCATGTTTTAACAGTTTTATGGTGTTTATATGTTTTGTTTTATTATTATATGATGTAATGTATTGTATTGAATTATTTGTTGAATGTGCAACATTTAATATTGTCGTGTTGTAAGCTACTCTGAGTCCCCAGCGAGGTGAGAGAGAGCAAGATATAAATATATTAAATAAATAAATAAATAAATAAAATGGCATCCTTTGTATAAAATTGCAAAATCAAGGTTTTGCAATTAACTGCCATAGCTCCATGTTTTGGAATCATAGGAATTGTAGTTTTGCAAGGTCTTTCCCTTCTCTGCCAAAGAGTGCTGGTGCCTCACCAATCTTCTCCTATGATTCCCTGACACTGAGCCATAGCAATTAAAGTGGTGTCAAACAGCATTCATTCCATGGTGCAGATGCACCCTAAGAGGTGCAGGGTGACAGTGGTGTGGAACAATTGCAGTAGAAAAAGTTATGAGTGTTTTTCCACCACCATGCATGCACCTTTAGATTTCACTTCTGCTTTCAGGGATGAAATAAAGGGAAATAGGCCCCAGCAGTCAATTTATGAAGAAGTGGCCGTTTTGTCTACTCAACAATCCTGATTCAACATTCTCACAAAGAGATAAGCATTCTCTGACTTTCACCATCCTGCTATATTTCATGTTTAATAAGAGTGCTTTGTGAAACATCAGCCAAATTAATTTGTGCAATGCGAACAAATTATTTGTAGTCCATTCCACTCAGAGAAAAAGCACAGAATGTGGATAAACCAGCCAATAAGTCTTGCAGTTTTCCAGTTTTACAGAAAGGCCCAAAACGTCTGTTGTTCGAAATGTGAAGATCTTTCCCTGCTTTTACTAGCTGATATAACTATTATTCAGCTAATTTCAGTATTTCCACATGCATCTGCTTACCTAAAATCCTGACCCTCGGTGTTCTTTTACCAAACTCAAAATTGATTTGTTGTATATTTAGCCCAGAAATGAGGAGAGCTTTGCCCTCCTGATGTTTTTGGATTACATTCCCCATCATCCAACCATTTTTGTGGGGTATGAAGCCCCAAATCTACCACACATTCTCTGCAGTTAATTTATGTTAATCTTTTTTGCCAATGTAATATCAACGTTTACATTTAAATATTTAAATATTGCTATAAATGCAGGTCATGGTATGCACCCATGCTCTTCTAAAGGAAAAACCACATCCTGACTCTCCCACTGCATAGCAGCAGGAAATAGAAATGGTCGTTCCCAAATGCATACAATGCTACAAGAAAAAAAGTCAAGAACTATGAATACACTATGTATTGAATATATACCATATATACTTGAGTATAAGCTGAGTGTTTCACCCCTTTTTTTAGGCTGAAAAAGCCCCCCTTGACTGATACACAAGTCAAAGTTATTTATTATTTTGCTCTGTTGTTGTTGTTGTTGTTAAATTTATTATTTTACTCTATTTATTACTATTATTATATTTCCATTATTTTACTCTATTATTATTTTTATTACATTTATTATTTTACTCTATTATTATTACATTTATTATTTTACTCTGTTTATTATTATTATTACACATTATTTTACTCTATTTATTGTTATTAATACATTTATTATTTTACTCTATTTTTTATTATTGGATGGATATGTAAACACATTTACATTGAAGAAACTTAGAATAATGATTTAATCAGAGTTGGACAGTTTTATCTTAAATTACAGTTTTATGTAAATATTCAAAAACATTTAATCTACTGATGCCTCAATTAATGTAGTTTTGTTAGTATCCATTTTTCTTTTGAAATTTACGAGTAGCTGCTGCATTTCCCACCCCTGGCTTATACTCAAGTCAATACATTTTTCTACTTTTTTGTGGAAAATTTAAGTGCCTCAGCTTATATTTGGGTTGGCTTATACTTGAGTATATATGGTATGTCCATATGTGACACAGAGAAGCCGAAACATTATAATCAATGCACCATCCTACTTCACCATTAACAATGCTCCAGTTGATTCAAACTCACATAAAGCTGTATTGTATTTCTTTCTTTTGCACGTGTATGCTAATGGTGAAACAAAAGAAGTAGAAGCTTCAGGGAAAAACTAGGTTGACATTAAATGCATTATTCTTTGGTTAGAAAGTCTGGATTAGGGCCTTGGTGGAATAGGGCTTGTTTATTTTTATTTATTAAAACATGTTGTCAAAGGCTTTCATGGCTTTCATGTAAAATGAATCAAAGGCTTTAGAACAATAAAAATTAAATGCAGTAAAAGCAGATTAAATCATGTCATCATTTTAAAATATTTTAAAATCATACGCATGTGCAGATATAGACTAAACTAAACCATTAAACCTCAAAAGCTATAATAAAAAACATGTTTTAAATTGGCGTTGCAATTAAAGCAGTGCAAGTCCCCCTTGGCCTCCAGTGAAGAAGGGCATTCCATAATTACAATGCCACGGCAAAGCTAGTGAGTGCCCCAGTGAAGAATATTGTTCCCACTCAGGTTGCATCTACACTTTAGGAAACCAGCAGACTTGGCCTTGATAGCTTAAGTACTGTGTCACAGCAGATGCTCTGTCATGCATGGCAGTGAACAGGTCCTTAATAATTTCATTCTGCAAGGGGAAGTAAAAAAAATATCCCCACCTCTACCCCCTTTTACATTTCTTCAGTACTGCCTTGATGGAAAATTTGGAGAACTCATTTGCACAAGGTTGTTTGTCTAGTGTTGTGTTATTTTCTCCCAAGTACATACAAACATTATCAAGCCTCCCAGATTGTCCCCTGATTGGAAGATTCTCCTCCTGCTAAATATGCAGAAATACAAGAATGAGGTTTGTTTTCAAAAATGTATCCCCCATTAATCATCCATGATCAGATTTGTGTTATTTAAAAAAACATTTTGTGTGATTTGTGCATCTTTCATACAGGTTTGGAATAGTAAATACTAAAGTATAGATGGAACCTGAGTAGGAACAATATTCTGCACTGGAGGCACTCACTGGCTTGCCGTGGCATTGTAATTATGAAATGCCCTTCCTCACCGGAGGCCCAAGGAGGACTTGAACGGCTTT